ATTATCACCAGGTCAACTTGAAGAAACCCTCTCTATCTCAGATTAGGTGTACCACACTCAACCCCTTCGTCCTCAGATCAGCTGTACCAAACCGCCTTGTCTCCATCACCCACGATAACATCCGTTGCATCTGAAAGACGAGAAGTACCACATTTTACTCTTAAGGAAAAGCACACCATTCTTCCTCCATGCAACTGTAGAATGAACTGCATCGTGAAAATCTCTCAACAAAGACGTCAAGTAATTCATGAGGAGTTTTGGAGTCAACCCTATCATGATCGCCGAAATTGGATTTTTCAACTCCGCTCGAAGACTAAAAGTGACTTTTTCAAATTCTCGTGTACGCTCCCAAAAGACTGCGGTAAACAGGTCGTCGTCTGCTCTGTGTTTTTTTCTGCACACCCTCGGATACATCCAATTCCGTATTCAACAGTTTAAAAATCCCAGGTGTTTCTGCAAGTGACTTGTTTGCCCCTAGAGACAAAAGGGGTGCAAAAACACCTTCCCACGCCTTGAGGGAAGACATTATTGCCGCAATAGACTCACACATTGAAGAGTTCCTTCCTTCAGTGAGCCACTACAAACGAGAACATGCACCTAATAGGCGATATTTGTCATCGGACATAACCATTCGTGAAATGCACTCCTATTTCACAGAGACGTATCGCTCTCTAAAGGCAGGGTACAAATCCTACCGTAGGCGAGTGCAGCTAAATCTTTTAAACGAGATGTGTGAGATATGTCTGACTTTCTGACACCATGAGCTCCAGCCGCCCGGAATGGACACAGACTTGAGAAGTGTCAACTGTACACAGCCCACAAGAGACGGGCTGCATCAAACCGTAAACAGTAAGACAAAGATAGAGAGAAAGGCCCTGAAGTAGGGTCCGAGATCATTGTATCGGCGGACATGCAAAAGGTCGTTTTGTTGCCTTTCATGCGGGGCGTCAAAAGCTGCTTCTTCCGAAACTGCCTTGTAGCTTTCCACGAGACGTTCGCACCCTTAGGATAGCAGGCGACGAAAAAGAAAAGCCCAAAGCAAGTCAGATCTGTCCTCTGGCATGAGGCAACGTCCGGAAGGTCTGCCTCCGGCGTTACTTCAGCTTTTGTTAAAGCAATTTGTGACTTGGCTGAGGATGCAAAGGACATCATTATACAGTGTGATAATTGTTCAGGACCAAATAAAAATTGGTATTTGTTCACGTCCCTGGCAAGGCTGTTAAATGACAGCAGCAAACCCTTTCTCCACAGGGTCGCTTTTAAGTACCTTGAAACGGGTCATACATTCATGTTCTGTGACTCGTTTCATGGTAAGGTTGAGAAGAATATGAGAAGGAAGGGAAATATTTTCGGTTTTACCGATTATGTGGTGACAGTGCAGACCGCTGGTGGGGTCCCGAAAGTATTACAAATGAACTATTTAGACTTTGTAAATTGGGACAAAAAGATCACTTCAGCGACGAATGTGAACATTCCACGTATCAAACAGATGCCAGCAGTGAGTTTTTTAAATCTGCGTTTCGACCATACGTCAACTGTGATCTGATGAAACGCAATTTTTTTTGTCCATCTCGGGAAGGAAAAAATGCGTTTTACCATATCACAGGTGATGTGAACGGTCGATACGCAAGAACAAAATGCGTTTTGTCAGATCATCTCTGAAAAAAATGTGTTTCATCAGATCACGTTGGAAATAAATGCGTTTTAACAAATCTAAAAAGCTAGTTTATTTAAAAACTAGTCGCACTTAGGCTTTCATAATTATATCTCAAGTTGGCTTTGGACATGTAGAATTCATTAGTGGAATAAAAAAATTTCGCGCCAAAATGAAAAAATGCGTTTTGTCAGATCACGGCAGAACTGCATAAGGTCATAGAGCGCCAGAAGATTAGAGGTGTTACAAGAGAGTAACAAACATAAAAAAGAAGGAGGGGAGATAAGGACAATAGATGTTTGATAGGAAAGAAGAAGCAAACCACACCAGAGCTCCTGCCAACCACCCATTGGTCTGGTTTTTATTCAGAACAAAATGAGACTCTTTGTACCTCACAGGTTTATCTGAGACTTTTTTTTACCTTATAGACTTATGCTATTTCATTGTGGTACTAGTTTTACAGGACTTGGGATACAAATAGGTCATACAAGTGTCGAAGACTAGAGGTGTTACTGGAGAATTACATACAAAAAATGAAGGTAGGAGAGATAAAGATGGTAGATGTTTGACAGGAAAGAAGGGGCAAACTGCACTGGAGCTCCTGTCAACTACCCACATAAGCTTTTTCAAAGGCAAAAATGACTACAGCCTTTGAAATAATAAGGGTCTTCCCCCCTCCCCCTTCAGAAAAAAAAATAAATTTTGGTACAAGTCTGTGACCTGTTGTAAAGGAACAACTGTTTATTTTCACTTGTGGTATCATTATATTTTCTTTATAGCTCTCACTCATTGTCATTTGATCCCCAGATTATTATTCTTGATGTCATTGAGGTCGTCCCAGAGCCTGGCCAGCCCTTGACAAAGAACAAAATAAAAGTGAGTTTGTTTGGGTTTTTTAAAATCTATGACTGTTTGTTAGAGTTTACAGTGTATCCGAACACTATTCAATTTTCCCTCTCAATATTCCAAACACTGAACATGTATTTGGATTTTTACTGGGTCTTTTTGTAAGCAAGTTAGCCCCTGGAAGTTCACTTCTTTTCAAGTTCGGAGCGCACTGTTTTCTCAGTTGGTATAATGCTGGGCTATGGTGCAGATTGTACCAGTACACTCTTTCTTACGGGAGAAATACAGACTCTTCTCAGAGTACGTTAATTATTTAAGGCTTCCTTGTGTCCTGAATTTCACATTACAGTCCGACATTTTGATGCTCTGTCCGTCTGTTATTTGAATGTTTTTCTTCTGAAAAATTGTATTTCCTCTAATTTCTTTTTTGTTTTTTGTTACGTTTGTTTGTTTGTTTGTTTGTTTGTTTGTTTTAAAAGATGGACAGTGTACATTTACAGTGAAGAAATCGTCTCTTATTACAAAACAGAAGTAACTTCCCTCTCTCTCTTTCTTCTGACGCTGTGGTGTCTTAAATGGTCAGCGATGCCGACAGCACGGAGGAACTCAACACTTGCCCGACGTGGTTGACAATCTCTGAAAATGCTGACCCTGGTACTTGTCTTCCACAGGTTGTTTATGACAAGGAACAGAAGGGACCTGTATCTGCCATTGCCTATCTCAATGGACTTCTTGTCACTGCCATAGGCCAGAAAGTAAGTGTGGGTGGTTGGTGGGTGCTCTGGTGTGGTTTGCTTCTTCTTTCCTATCAAACATCTATCGTCCTTATCTCGTATCCTTTTTTATTTTTGTTACTCTCTTGTAACACCTCTAATCTTCTGGCGCTCATATGACCTTATGCAGTTGCGAGCGCCGTAAAACCTCTATTAATAATATTTAAAAAAGAGTGCTGTGTTTGGTGTTTGGGGAAGTATGAGAATTTCTGACAACGTGGGTGGGTTATTCAAGGGTGCCGTTGAAAAGTCATGGTTCTTTTGTTATTTTTCTTTTGTCTATCTTGAATTAAATGACCAGTGTTGTGTCAGTGTACTTTTCTCTACTCAAGTAAACCTCAGAGCTGACCTTTTGCTGTGTAATAATTCTGATTTATGACTATTTTTTTTCATTGAAAGGTTTTTTTTTAAATACCAAAATGCTTTTGTTTTGTAATTGTGCCTGGTGAGAAATACCCTTTCATAGTGGCAAACTGTCACTCTTTTGTAGCACATTTGTCAAATTTGTAAGTTCAGGGCTCATTGTGCTCAGATGGTATCATGCTGGACTTAGATGGAGATGTCCTTCTGAGGTTCAAATCCCCAAGGTATTCTTGAACATGTGTTGTTATAGGTGTGTTCTAGGTTCTCTTCCTGCTGAGCTGGGTCCAATTAAATAAAGACGTTTGAATTTGAAGGTGCGGCCTATAAATCATACAGGTTTAAAAGCAGAGTTAAAACCCTTACAGCCTTATATTGATAAGAAAAATAATGATAATAATAGATTGCATTTATATAGTGCTTTATCTCATATCGCTCTACATGGATGACATGATTACTGAGAGTGAGAGTAAAACCTCACACACAGAAGTAAAAAACTTTTCAGATAAACAAGAAAACCAGTTCAACTGCATTTGAAAAAACTTTCTCAACTATACATTAATGATATACTCATGAGGACAGAAGTGAAAAGAAGATGCCTCAGCACCTGCTAACATACTCCGACTAAGACTTAAACAAAGGAGTCTCGAAAAACCCGATGCTTATCCGAATTATTGGTTTTCTTCTTTCTCAGATTTACATCTGGTCTCTCAAGGACGATGATCTCTCTGGAGTTGCATTTATCGACTCGTTGGTCTACATTCACTCCCTGCGAGTTGTGAAGAATTTAATCTTAGCATCTGATGTCATTAAAAGTGTGGCCCTCTACCGCTACCAAGATGAGCTCCGAGTTCTCTCATTTGTTAGTCGAGTAAGTCATCAGCTCATTTAGGGCCCGTTACTGTATGTCTAGCAATCTCCATAAAATTAATTTTCGAAACACCAGAATTATTTTTTGATGTATAATGAATTTTTTATTGCTCTAGGCTATATATCAGCCTACTGAGGCCAGTAGAATGAAGTTTAGCTTTTTTTTTTCTTTTCTAGTCAACTGGAAATAATGCTTATTCTTTGTAGCTTATACATTTTTTACAGTATTGTCAGTGTGTTCTCTGTGAACCAAGACTGAAGTCAATATATTGTTTTTTGAGTGTTTATAGTCCTACCTTATGGAATGATTTAAAAGCCACAAAAAAGATAATAAAATTCTATTCAATGGCAGTCTAGTTTAGTTGTATGGTTTTAATCTTTTTCATCCTTTTTTGAAAACAAAAACTGAGAAGCAAATATTTTTCCATTGCAGGATTCCAGAGCATTGGAAACTTATGCTGGAGATTTCTTAGTGGATGGAGAACGGATGAGCTTTGTCGGTATGTTTGACAGTTGTGAGCAAATGTTCAGATTCACTTATACTAAACAGTTGCACCTTAGTTGTGACTCAATTGATCATTTTGATAGCAGAGCATTTGCTAGGATGTGAAAATGTTTAGATTCATAGATACAAAAAAAAAAACTACCTTTGTAGTCACTCAGCAGATGATTTTGAAAGCAGAGCCTTTCCTAGGATGTGAGGAAACCTTCTTGGGAGCAGAATCAGTCGAGTGTCAAATGGGACTCTGTCTTCAGGTGTTAGCTCTCAAGTGTTCGGCTTTGAGCTAGTACAGGTGTTAAGATAATAATAAAAGATATACAATCTGCTTAAAAGATGCAGGGTCTTGGTTTAAAATTCAGAACAGGAAGGAAACAATTTTTCGCTGATATGTCGTTGCATATTGCTATTAGGAATTTTCACTTTGTGCAGACATATTTTACCTTTTTGTTTAGATTTAAAAAGAAATGTATGTACTTTACAGGCTGACCAGTTTAGTATTTTTGTGTGCTAAATTCAATGTCTTTTTTCCCCCCCCCAGTAAGCGACAGGAGCAGGAACATTTTCATTTACTGCTATTTACCAGAAGGTAAGTAGGACATGCCAGTCTCCCAGCTCTTTTATTTCATTTGTTCATATTGTTTTACATGTTTACATCATTGCTGTACCGAGAAAAGCTAGTAGTGAGTGGTTGGCGGGTGCTCTGGTGCGGTTTGCTCTTTCTTTTCCATCAAACATTTATTGTCCTTATCTCTCGTCCTTCCTTCTTGTGTTTGTTACTCTCTAATAATACATTTAATCTTCGGCACTTATATGACCTTATTGTGTTTTAAGTGCCATAAAACTCTTACTAAAATTCATTTTCTCTTGTACATTAAAGAAACAATTATCTGTGATATGTAACGTCTAGTGTGGTTCGCTCCTTCTTACCTGTCTTATGACTATCTGTCGTCCTAATCTCTCCTCCTTTCCTTCCTTGTGTGTTATTCTCTTGTAACATCTCTAATCGTCAGCAATTTTATTACCTATTTGTATTGCAAGTGCCTTAAAACTGTTACTAAATTTAAAAATGACTTATAACTGAGGATTCTCTGTCTGCTCACAGTTCGTGAAAGTCACGGTGGGATCCGATTGCTGCGACGAGCGGACTTCAACCTGGGCAGTCAAGTGAACAGCATGTTCAGAGTGCGATGTAAGCTGGAGGACCCGTCCACAAGCAAGAAGAACCAGGCGGCCGTGGAGCACAAGCAGGTCACCTTCTTTGGTAAGTATATATATAATATATATATGTTACAATGCCTGCTGGTTTTTGCTTTAGTTGTTTAGTTTTAGTAAGTGTTTTACAGTGCTTGCAACACAATAAGGTCATATAAGTGCCGAAGATTAGAAGTGTTAAAAGAGAGCAACAAACAAAAAAAAAGGAGGATTTATAAGGATGATATATGTTCCTCTAGGACAGATAGAGCAGACCACACCAGAGCATGCGTCAACCACCCACCTACCTTTAGCTGTTTGGCTGAAGAATTGAGATATTCATGGGTGGTTGGCAGGTGCTCTGGTGTTGTTTGCTCCTTCTTTCCTATCAAACATCTATTGTTCTTATCTCACCTCCTTTGTTTTCATTTTATGTTACTATTCAGTAACACCTCTAATCTTCAGCACTTACACCTCTAATCTTCAGCACTTATGTGACCTAAAAGTGTTGTTAGTGCTGTATAAGTCTTATGAAACTAAAAAAAAAAATCCTCACAGCCCAGATAGGCCCATATTATTATTGTTTAAAGGCAAAATAGACTGACGGCAAGCATTCGTCAGTATGCCTGATCTTCTTTCATTGTACTGCATATTTCTAAATGTTTCTTTTTAAATATATTTCAGCCTCTTAAATGTTCTGTTCTTTTTTTCACAGCTACTCTGGACGGTGGCATTGGGTATTTGCTTCCCATACAGGAGAAAGTGTTCCGGCGCCAGCAGATGTTGCAGAATGCAATGATTACTCAGCTGCCGAATCCTGCTGGTCTAAACCCTAAAGCATACAGGTGAGGCATGAGTAACTGTATTTGGGCTTCCTGTTATGAAAAGTGATCTATTAACTCATTGAGGACGTGTGGACGTTTACGTTGGACGAGCAATAGAGCAAAGGCAACATTTTCGCATGTTTCGAACCCTCATAATATACAAGTTAGAACACGAGTTTTCATTATTCTGAGTCTGCATCATTTAGCATGCCTTTTTAAGTTTCAGATAATGAAAACATGATCGAAAAAGCTATTTGAATAATGAAGTTACGCACTAAAACATCGCACTTTCATGCATTGCCGAATGGCCAGAATGCGCAGCCTCGATGAGTTAATGAACTGGGATATATACATGTAACTGATTTCCCTGCCAGCTCAGTGTGTTCACTCAGATAACAGGGGGGGGGGGGGGGCGGGGGGGGGTTTCTTCTTTTTTTTCTCCCAGTCAGCCTTACTTTATGCATCTATCTAGACAACACAATATGAGTGTTATTCACCCTGGCATTAAGAAAGCGACGTAAAGCCCTGTGCGCAAACTTGTTGTATTTGTCAAATGTAATATTTTTCTTTGAGTACACCGAGGGCAAGCTATAGCATTTGGTCAGAATATATATTGTATCGATGGTATTGTGTGCTTTCGGGTCAGTCCATGCAAGCTAATTTTTCAGGAGTAAAAAAAAAACCTGCAAAAATAAAGTAAAAATACTTTGTCTCCAGGTTTTGTACATGTTTGAGGAATAAGAATTGTTTATCTCAGGGAGATATTAGTACTCCTAGTGGAAGGTCTTGTATTGAAGCAATGTGTTCAGAAAAGAAATAGGAAAATCTTGGACATGGTCTGTTGGCGCCTGACACTACAGACATATAATTAATATATAACAGTCTCTGCCTAAGACTCCAGGTAAGAACCCAGTCTGCCTGAAACCCTACTTTTACCTTGTAATGGAATTTTTTTCTCTATAACTTGCTTGCTTAAGAACCCATTCTAAAAACAAATCCACCTAAGAGACAGGTTTGAGCACAGGGCAATGAATTTTTCGCAGCAGCTTTACTGTACTTTGCGTGGGTTGAGTAGAGGGGAGAGGGGTAAGCAAGGACTTGTGCACACTGCATGCTCACTGTCCCAGAATGTATGCTTAGGTTTGCCCGTGAACTCTTGCTGAGCGGGTACAATCATTTGCTGCTCTCACGTTGTCAAAGCGTATGATTGTCTCTTAAAATCTGGTCCCTTCACGGCCATTCTTTCCCTTCATTTATGCAGCACTGCAACTGGTGCTGTTGCAGTTTCAAAATGCTATCAAATCATAGCGTTCCTCTCTCTAAGACAGACCATTTTTCTCCTTGAAAATATGAATAGCTGTCTGAGACCGTTTGGACTGTATTTCAAGTATTTATAGGCAGCAAGATTGCTTCGTGGTAAAACTTGATAAGCAGTAAAGAGAGTTTTATGTTTTCTCCAGGACGTACAAGACTCTCCCCCCGGACATGGCTTCCCCACAGCGGAATATTCTGGACGGGGAGCTGTGCTGGAGGTTCCTGCACCTGTCCACTATGGAGAAGATTGAGGTGGCCAAGAAGATAGGAACTTCTGTGGATCAGGTGAGAGGCTTGTGGCATGTGGCTTTTTCCCCCAGGTATGTTCGTGGGTTTTGTCGGGTACCCAGGAAGCTTGTCGATAAAGCAGAGTGGGCCCAAAAAATAGTCAATATAAGAGAAATTGGTCATGTAACTGCTCATTCTTTTCCTTTTTCAATTTTCTAGATAAAACTGTGAGGAAGTGTTGAAATAAATCCGAGTTTTGTCTAAAGATAGAGCTGTATTGCAGTCTAGCACACACATACAAATACCGAATTTGGCTGGATGTGGAAGTCTTTTCGTTATATGTATGAATTTCACTGTTTTCGAATTGTATAATCAAAAGTGCTTGGAAAAATTAAAGACCTCACAATTTATTCGAAAAATGCATTTTTTCACTATGGTATGTGTGTGTTCACTTTGTGTGTGCTAGACTAACTCTTTGAGTCCCTTCTAAAGTTATAGCTGAAGAACTGTAGAAATGACTAGAGGTCTCTCGTAAAGGTAGATCTGTAGAACAGTAGAAATGACTAATTGAGTCTCTACTAATGATACAGAGTTGTAGACTGCACAAATGACTTTGTGAGTCTCTATTACTAACGATAACAGTTGCAGAGCTGTAAAAAAAAAACTCTTTGAGTCTCTACTAAAGATAGAATTGTAGATTGTAGAAAAGATTTTTTAAAGTCTCTTTAAAATTAAAACTGTGTGGAATTGTTGCTGTCATTCTTGTCTTTTATCTTTTCTCGTATCAGTGATGATGGATTTTTTTTCATTTTCTCTTACTTTCAGCTGATTGACGATCTGATGGAGTTTGACCGACTAACTGCCCATTTCTGAGTTACTCTGTTTGAGCATGTACTTGTCTATTCTGTGCATAGAACATGATACTCTTTGTTTGTCAGGGTGGATTTAGCTTTACCAGAAAGCAATATCTGAAGTCTCTTGCAAAGGCTGAGGAGACTGAACTGTTTTATCTTCCTTCTTCTGTAACATAGCTTACCTGGAGTCGGACTCTGTTTGGCTGGCATTGTGAATGAGGTTTTTGATTGAAGTGAATGAATACATTTTGAAATGTATGTCTAGAGAGAAAATTTAAAGTGTTTTTCATGTACGAATATTTTAAAGTATTATGAAATGAAAGATTGTTGGTGTCAATACAAATCTAGGTGTGGAAATGTTTGATGGCAGATTAACTTTTTCTTTTATAATCGTGACATTTTGGAGGGATTTTTGGATAGTAGGCTACCTAATTGGTCTTTGAGATCAACTGAATGCTGTTACTATTGAGCTCTTATTTAAGTTCTGCTCCACTTTTTAATATTGTCACACACTTTTGTCCGTAACTTTGGAGTGTTGTTCAGTATTATTCATAGTTTCCTCTTTTTCAAATGAAAAATTTGAGCTGAGAAAGCAGTGAAAAGGTTTGTTCCAGGGTACTCAACTGAATAAGTTGGAGAGAGATTCGGCCAATGTTTTTTCGGGGTGAACAATGCGTAATGCAAGGTCAAAGTCCAGTGCTTGTGTAGCTGATACACATTTTTAAAAGTATCAGTTTTGTGTAAACCTTCATTGTCCTGACAGAAGAGAAGTTTCAGTAAATTTTAACTCTCGAGTTGGATCAGATTGAGTGAAAGATTGTTCCTACGTAGATGTACCTGACAACATTTCAGCCAGGAATATGAGTCGTCGACATGTGTGCTTACTTCCTGTAAAGCATAAGTGAGACAAAAAATTGGTTGGTTTGTCTGTTTGTGTTTTTTTAATGCACATTTTTTTAATGTTATCATATGAAATGTTAAAAGTATTTCCTTTTATGTAATTTTTTTTTCTCTCCTCTGTTGTCATTTTACTCCAAAAAAAAGTTGGATTACACTGGAGTCCTCTCATAGTAGGCTCCAATCTTCCAAGGACCAGACTGCTGTGCTTCTTTTTAAAGCAAGGTGTTTGAACAATGTGTGATGGTACAGAAAAAAAAACAACTACAACATGAATAGGGACAAGAGCCTTTAATTACTCAGAGAGAATGCCTGTTTATAATTATGAGCCCATTATTGTAAGTGGACTCCGTCAGCGAGTGTTTGGGGAATGCTCTCAAGTGGTTTGCTCCTTATTTCCTATCCGACATCTTTCGTCCTTATCTCCCTTTCTTTTTTGAGTTTGTTACTCTCTGGTAACTTCTTTTATTTTCTGCTCTTGTGCTGTAAAGTTCTTACTAAAACTAAACTGGACTCTATCGTATGTCATTTGAGAATAAATGCTTTGCATGTACATAATATGGAAATTATGACATCAATTGTGTGAAAATGTTTTCAATGTACATTGATTCATATGTATGTTTGTTACACTGCCATTTATTACTTTGGAATACTGTTCTGTGAAATGGTTTTGTTTTATTAAAAATTGTGAGTATATTCTGGTTGTTGAATTTATTTTCCTTTTGTCCTCATTGTGATTATAACTTTGAGAAAACTTTAAAAAAGAGTTAGTGGGGTATGGTGTACAGTGGTAAAGGTTGAAACAGTGGGGCAGAAAAATTATTCTGATTCTTTCACAAAACTTCAGTTGCTTAGTGAAATTTGGCTTTTGTTTTCCTAAGTTTCTTGCTTTTCAAGGATATATACAGTATAATCCGCTTACATCCACATGTTTTGGGAAGTGAATTTGATGCCAATATATAAAAATGTTGATAAATGAAAATGTAAAGCCAAAGAGGAAAAAATAAGGGGACGTCAGCGGTAAACTGAGAATGGGATGAGGAAGGGGAGTGAGCGATCGGGAGTGGGGGTAGGGAGGTGATGCCCAGTGTGCGAGACGCTCACGTCTGTAAGGCATTGTACTGTGTTTAAGACTACACTGTGTAGGCCATACATGACCTACTAAAGCCTGGTGGGTCGATATAGGCTACTTGGCGGGTATGTGGACTTAATGAACAACTAATGCGTTGACCGTTAGCGTGGCTTTTTCCCCCCATTTATGTTCGTGGGCTTCGCCAGGCACCCAGGTACATAAGATATATAAATGTTCAGTTTCCACTGACTTTCAAGCTAAGGAAATAACTCAACCTTGACGGCCATTTTCTCGCTAATTTTATCTCTGAAACCAGGCGACTCCCACCTCCTTCACTCGCCAATATCTTGACTTATTATATCCAAGATAAATGGATATTTTTCTCATCAAAAGCATCGCAAATGGACAGGCTTTAAGATAGTACCGATGACTCCATGTCTCAAAATTGGCGAGCGCCTGATTCCACCGTGTCGTGACACATACGTCAAAATGTCGATAAATCGGATGTCAATATTAGTGGATTATACTGTAGATATACTGCACATTGTTTTGCTGTTGGTTCTACGAGTATGCATTTTCTTTTTGGTGATTAGATATGGCCATTTTGCACCCATCATCGTCCAAAGTATAGTAACAAGGTTCTGTTCTTGCTATATTCTCTACTCTGTAATAAATACAGTCGAAACCTGATATAACAGGGATGGTGGGAGTAGAGAAAATGTCCTGTTATATCCGATCCCTGTTAAATCAGAAATGCAAGGAAAGTAAGCATTTGTGGACTAATCCAGCTGTACTTATTCATGGGTAGTTTCCTTTGCAACAAGTACCCACGAACAGGGGTGTTGGCACCAAAGCTTGGTCCACAGCATCTGCATCGGGTAGTCTCATCTTCTTTCCATCCAGAGCAAACTTTTCATTGGAGTATGCTGCAACTATTTTCTCTCTATCCTTGATAATGGGATGAATCGACCCTTGTGGAAAGTCGAACTGACGACAAATCTCTTCCAGTCTTTTTGTCAACAACCTGGATTATTTAGTATTTTTGGTCAATTGAAAGGCATTTTCTCTTGCGCTTGACATCGTTGGTGACACATAACGCGTGCGTGTTGTTGCTAGGTTTCGGGCTAGATCGAGGTCTACAGCACACCGCAGCCCTCTCTCGCTTCACACGCTGTGTGTGCTTGTAGTGGCATGGCTTGCGTGGGCTTGCTCCACCACTGCGTTACTCTCTCTCTCTCTCTCTCTCTCTATCTCTCTCTCTCTCTCTTTCTCTTTACACATTGTTAACAAGCCTTTGTCCCTGCTATAACCGGTTGGGCTCTGACGAGCCCTGTTATTGCCGATGACTTTTAATAGAGACAAAGAGTAGGAAAAAACGGGGATTTAAAAAATCCCTGTTATTACCGGATCCCTGTTATTACCGGGCCTGTTATATATGGTTTCCACTGTATGTTAAATTGGGTCTCTAATAATTTGAGAGGACCCTGGTCTTTTTCAAAAGCATGGTTTTGATAAGTTAGAACAATTCAAAGCATGCGACACCGATTGGCAAGCTGGCACAGCTGATGAACTTCATTCAATTTTTCTTTGCCACTTCAGGTGAATCTGAAAAAGAATCTTTTCCAGTTAAATATCACTCTGACATGCTGTAGTTGGGGGGGGGGCTCTCGTGGCCTAGAAGTTAAACTCCTAACCTTCTCGGAAAAGGGCAAAAAATCTCGGAGGTTAAAGATCCCTTGGTGGTCCACAATCAATAAGAGTAGGCTTTGGCTGCCACGAGGGCAAAATTTAAAATTTCCTACCAATTTAACATTTTTTAAGTGTCTCGCGCGCTCATATGACTTTATGCAGTTGCGAGTGCTGTAAAACACTTATAAAATAAAATAATTTTAAAATGCTCTACTTCTTTTTTTCTCTAACAGATTTAATGAATGTTCCTTTTTTATAGGCTTCATGCATGTTCTTTCTCGTATAGGACAGACAAACCTGTCTAAGATAACCAACAATTGTCGAAGAGAAAATGGTAATTTTGGCTAGACAAGTGGTCCTCTTGAACAGTGTCATTATAACAGAAAAAAAAGCAAGTGGGAAGTGGTCGTTTGTATAGGACCTATTAGGTGATTGTCTTGGACAGATGATCATAAGAGCAGATCTGGCTAAATTTCAACTGATTATGTTGAAATACATCAGTATTGCCAGGTCTATTGAATTGAAGGTCAAATTCCTGTTTAAATAGAAATGGAGAATATGTAAATTGTTTGGCGATATTTTTGTTTTCAAAGGAGAAAACCCCCCCACATGAACCTGAAGATGAACAGTGACATGAGCAATATCAAAAACACAGGGGTTTACAATGTTTGTGTTTTAACAGTTTGATTTATTACTTATAACAACAAATTATCACAGGTATGCTGTCAAGTATTGAGAATTGACAAAGCAAGAATATTATAGATTTGAAGCTGATTTGTTGCAAATCGCATATATGGAAGAAGAAACAAAGCAATGGAATTCCCAGTTTAGAGTATAAGGGTGGTAAGTGGCCCATTAGACTTCATATGTTCTTGTGTCTGCATAAGCTCCTTCTGTCAAGGTTTTGTTTCCTAATACAAACAATACAATTGCACAACTATAGAATCGATTTAAATTGATCATTTTTAGCAGAAACTCTGCTTATGTACACTTTATATTTCAGGATTTTAAAAAATGCTTTTTATCCCATGCCCCAACACCCTGGATTTAATCCTTGCATATTTTGATGTCTGGGAGATTTAGATATAAGATACATTTCAGGGCCTGGTATTTTGTATTTTTTTCATTAATTTATAAAGAATCTAATCTTAGTTTTCAATATCCTTATAATCTTTTTTAACCAGGAGATGAAGGTCTGAATATAGATTCTATAAGTTGGAAATTTACTTCTGAAAAACTGAACAAAAAACTCAGCAGAAAAACTATGTGAAGCAGTGGCGAAAAGTCCATAACTGAACAGACAGTTGGTGAACATTCATTAACGACTAATGCAACATCGAAGATTGTATTTATAAGATATGTCACTCCAGTAACAAGTGTCTCCTCTGCAGTCCAAGAGCAGTAAAGAAAATCTCATTGCCTAAGAATAGCATTCTCTATGAACAATAAAACAGTATCTAGTCAACTCTGTTCTTTCAAGGACATTATGTGCATTTAGTTTCTTAAAGCAAGTGGGTGAGTGAAGGGCACCCCTTGGAGGCTTCTATATTTCATCGCCCTGTTCTGTTCTTCTTTTCCCAGCACTAAATAAATGGCCATTTATTATATGGCTGGATAGACCTAATGCTTCTCTTTCCTAAACTACCTAAAAGTGGAGGGACCCGTTTTGTTGTCTACAATCTACGCTGTTGGTCAGCCTGGAGCAGCAGCAGCTGCAGGGAGACTGTCATCGGGTCTTCTTCACTGGTCTGGGTAGGAGGAGTTTGAACGGCTCATTGCCATGGCGATATGTCTCTGAGTGTCCCACCTGAGGATCCAGGAAACAGGTCATGGTGAATACCAAGGAGATGTCAGGATTCTTATTAGTACCTCATGTGGGTGTTATTAATACTTTTAAGAAAACATATCATTCAGATAAATGCATTTCATTTATGTAAGTAAAGTAATGAATCTAGTAGTGGGGGGAGGGGGGGGGGTCTCACAGCCGTAAAGAATCTCTTATTTAATGGGGAATGAAAAGAAAGAGCTAGATTTTATATTGTTTTTTAAAGTTAAGAAAAACCACTTTTCTTTCGACCTCTTTTAGAATATATAGAACTTCTCTGTCAAATGACACTTGTTCATAACAGATGAGTCAAAAGCACAAATATCTTAAGTCACAATCAATATCATTTGAATTTTAAACAATTATGGAAAGACCAAAACTTTTCTGAAGTATTTAGTGAGTGGTTAAGACCTTACTCGTGTTGCCTCATTTCAGAACAGAGACTTCTAACATATCAGTGGCATTTTGCAGTAAAAAGGAGACGGCTCTTTTTATATGAATAAAATACTCTTTGTATTTTCAATATGACTTCTATAAAACTCTTACGATGATTTCTTGGACTGATAATTTTTTGTAGGCTTTGAATAGACCTGCAAATTACAGTAAGTATCAATCATAATAAGCAACGTCTTTTCAAACAGTACAGTATCGTGTCCGACTTCTCTCAAGTTACTTTTCTCTAAAGAAAGTTGTCTCTCTGAAATTGACAGGCTAAGCTTACACAGCATAATAATATGATTTTGAAAGGACGGATTTTTTTCCCATGGATGACAGATCTCCACAATTACACTGCCCTGAATACGAATCACCACAATATTTTTTTCAATTTTTGACACTTTTCAGTATGAACTAGACGAATCAAGTGTGATTAATGATATTTCTCATGAATCAGGGACACTAGCTCTCTAATAAGATATTTTAAACTTTTTACATACATGCGAAGCAGTTTGTCAAATCGGTGCCATATAAAAAAAATGACTTTTGCATAAAATTTACTAGATACCGGTAGGCTTAAACGAGAAAGCTGTAAATTTGAAAGCAGAACGTTTCGATCAGAAACTTTTGAATGTCCCACGACATATGAAGCAATTTTTTAGGAGAAAAAATAAGACCAAAGCAAAACAAATCATATTTTAAGAAACATGGCACTCAAAACGCAAGATAGACAGAATAAAGGGCACAAAAAAAAGAGAAGCAAAGAAAAAAAAAATCACTGGCAAAATATCGACACAAGTTGATTGAAAGAAAAATCAAGTAGCATTCCAACTGTGTTGTAAAATGGAAAGAGTTGAAACAAAAATAGAACAAGACACACAACAGTAATAAATAAAGATACATAATATATCATGTAATATCATAATGAACATTACGTTGTAATAGTAGGTCAAATAATACATGTTAGTATTAGATTTTGCACATCTTAAACCCCCCCCCCCCAATGTAATCAATTAGGCGCTAATAAGAAAAAATATATATATAATCAACCTGATTTCTTATTTCTATAAAAACAAGGTGGTACTGGCTCTATCTCAGTTTTCGTTTGCTAAATGGAGATAGACAGTGCAATAACTATAGGCCTAGTGGCCGTCATCAGCATTAATATTATTCTTGAAAAAAAAAAGATTCTGAGATCTCAAAATACACGTGTACTTTCAGACCGCATTACTTGCTTTTCCTGATTTTTTTAAAGTCATCATGTAATCTTAATACAAAAACGTCAGAGTGTAAAATTCAGACGATATACACTAGCCTTTCATTTGTTAAAAAGCAAAAAAATTCAAGGTTAATAACAATACGGTTTATTTTATAAATGTCTTCTCCTTTTCATCAACTAATTGATCTCTCTACCCCCCCCCCCCTCCCTCCTACATTCTCTGTCCGCTCCTCTGTTTGTCTGTCGGTCTGTCTGTCTGTCTGTCTGTCTGTCTGTCTGTCTGTCTGTCTGTCTGTCTGTCTGTCTGTCTCTCACTCTCTATTAAAATAAAAATTCTTTCTATGTTTTCCTCTATTATATCTAAAAATGTGCGTGTGTGTGTGTGTGTGTGTGTGTGTGTGTGTGTGTGTGTGAGTGTCTGTGTGTGTGCGTGTGTGTGTGTGTGTGTGTGTGTGTGTGTGTGTGTGTGTGTGTGTGTTCAGCAGAACAACGACACATTTATGGGTGTATATAAATATCAATATCAGAGTAACCTGTGGAAAAATACAAGACAAAGGCGAGAAACGAAGAAGGTGAGGGGCTTTGGGGGGGGGGGGGAGTATATTAAAAGGACTTTAAATAAGAATAGATCGACTATACCAAGCAGGTAAATTATAAAATCTTTGAAAAGAAGCGAAACAAAACTTTTGATAAAAGTAACACTTCAGTAATACAACGTACTTTCATATTCACTTCTACGGCAAAATTAAAGGGACAAAAAGACCCCACCCCACCAAAACAAAAGAGATAAGAGGGCTGAAAAAATAGGACATACAAATAGGAATTACAATTCAGACAAGCAAAAACGAGAAAGTGTGAGAAATTTAAAAAAAAAAAAAAAAGATTTTAAGCACACACACATCTAGAGTTTCTCAAAGCTAGAATCTGTATTATGTTCTCAATGCCGTTATTGAAACCCACGGGAGCCCACATACAGGCATAAATTGTACAACAGTAACAGTTCTATGTTCTTAATGAAAGACAACATATAATTATTTTTTTTTTATTTCGTTCATAAACTACCCATGTCATCAGACAGAAATGCTGCTCTGAGGAATCATTGACAGGGTAAATAGTAACAGCCTCCTGCACGCAATCTAAAAAAAAGAAAAACCCAAAGATAAATCAAATATTTTTAACATTTAAAAATCCCCAACCTTACGACAGAGAAGTTAAGACAGGTGTTACTGATAGTTCCCATTTTTCATACATAGAATGAGGACGGCTGATTTTCCAAGTTCTTTTTCCCTTTCTTTTTTTTTTTTTAAAATTTATAAAACATAGCAAGGCGGCAAGGGAAAAGGGGCATACGACATGTCACATGTGTGTGTGTGTGTGTGTGAGAGAGGGGGGGGCAATAGAGAAACGCTCAAAGAGAGAGAGAGAGAGAGAGAGAGAGAGAGAGAGAGAGAGAGAGAGAGAAAGAGAGAGAGAAAAGTAGAGGCGGGTACAAGAGGGAGAAGGAGAACAGAGTACATCCGCTGGTAAACTAATCACACACACATTCTAACCACGCAACAGAGTCCACACTGGCCTGTCAGCGAGTACGTGCCAGGTGCTCTTGGTAGCTGGTCAGTTTAATCAAGTAGTGTGGGTGGTTGGCGGGTGCTCTGGTGTGGTTTGCTTCTTCTTTCCTATCACACATTGTCATCATTCTATCGTCCTTATCTCCCCTTCTTCTTTTTATGTTTGTTACTGTCTTGTAACACCTCTAATCTTCTGGCGCTCATACGACCTTATGCAGTTGCGAGTGCCGTAAAACTTCTACTAAAACTAAACTAATCAAGTAGTGACCACTAGATATATTATTATACATTATAATTGTAGTAATGGTGGTCACTTGTCAGTGCAAGAGGCCAACTCTGGCATGGCGTCAGTTGGGCCCTGGGGTGCCTGGAGTACGCATTATATATATTTTTTTTTTAAGTTTTAGTAAAGTTATACGACACTTGCAACATAATTAAGACATGTGAGTGCTGGAGGTTAAAAGTGTCATACGGGGGTACCTACTACGGATGGGATCGGCGGGTCGGGCCTATCGCCCAACTCGGTCGTCTCAAAAACAAACGTGTTTGTTTTCAGTTCCAGGCGACCGGCCCGATCCAGCCGTAATGGGCGCTCCGTTTTACAAGAGAGTAAAAACACAAAAACGAAGGAGAGGGATAAGGACGGTGGATGTTTCATAGATGGGAAAGAAGCAGCAAATCACACCAGAGCACCCGCCAACCACCCTCTGAACCACCACGATCAAAATTCAAATTACTATTTATTTGTGTTGCTCTCGTCTTCGTTTTCCTTAGCAACCTCTCTGTTACCAACGGACGGCCTAACCTCCCCGTTACTTAAGCCTACCCTCTCAGTGTGGCCTGTATACAACAAGGGTCAATTGACGAGCGTTTACCACACATAGCCCAGTGTTTGGTTCGTCAACAACATCTATAGCAGGCATTATGGCACGTGGTCTAAGGAGGGTGCGTGGGGAGGGGGAGGGGTGTGGGG